TAAAATTACAATGAATAGATAGAAAATAAGACATAGGTAGATGTGAATTAATAGGACTGTCTAATATTGAGGAGTTTGTTGATTGAGTTGTTTGACATTAGATTCGTATAGAGAGGTCAATTAGGAAAAAAACAAATTAAAAAAAATTGAGATAAATTTTGTACCTTTGGATCAAAGTGAATAAAAATTAAATTAATCTTGATTATTGTTATTCTTTTATAAATTGAGAATACAACTTTCAAATTATAATATTAGATATATATGTATATATATATAGAGAGAGAGAGGGGGAGGGAGATCAATTATATGTCTCTCTAATGATCGATCGACCTGTTATATGTCATTCAATCTAACCCTAAAGATTTATGTGAAGATTATATTGCATAGAGTAATATTATTTGAATATAATTTATTAACTCAATTTATTATGATTGTTGAATTAATAACAAATTTTAATTTTATATATAATTTATTGTCACTTTAACGATTATATTATATTAAATCAACTTATAAGATGGATAAATTATGACAACTAGCATAACTTTATTGGATATGGACCAAATAAAAGATAGAGATGATCAGACAGATCTTGAGTGCCAATAGATGAAAGATTGAGCATTTGACCAAAACCATTTGCCTCATACTTTATTCTCATATCTAGTCTGTTTTAAACTTTTTTTCAAACCCAGTCTTTTCTTAAAAACATTATTCCAAATGACGTGCTATCATGGATTAAAATGTCATTTGGAATTACGTTTTAAACTGTATAAAAATGTAAGTAAAGCATCTTTTTAAAATCGTCATTTGAAATGATGATTTTATAGTGATGAAAAGATAAACAGTTTCCTAATGGAGTTAGGGCATAAACCTTTACTGTAACCATAAAACGTCATTTAAAATGACGATTTACGAGAACTAAAATCAAATTTAACCTTTTCCAAATTTGAAAAAGCCTTTACTCTCTCCCAAATTCAAAATCGGACAAAACCTCTGTCCCTCTCCAATCCTCCGACAAAGCCACTCCTTGACGAATAGCATCCCAACAAAGGATTTCACAAAAATGAAGACCATCACGGTGTTTCCCTCCTTCAACGAGTTTTGACCATCATCGTTTCTACCGACGAGTTCTGGCCATAACTCCGGTGAGTTTTGTCCACAACTCCCTCTCCTCCGACGAGTTCTATCCCAGTATCCCTATCCTCTGACTAAGGTATTCTGTCTCTCTCTCTCTCTCTGCATTTCTTTTTTAATTTACTCACAACTGGCTGGGGCACATTCTTATGAAACATAGAATTAAAATGATTATGGTCAACGAATTTGCTGGCCTTGTGCCTTCATAACAATCCAACCTTGGTACTTGCTTGAATTTTTGGCACTTTGTGTTAGGATTTAGCTTTCCTAATTTGGTTCACTAAGCGCATGAAAACCAGAGTCATTGCAATGGTGATTATAAATCCAAATTACATGCCTTTACCCTGCCACGTAGTTCAGCTACCGATGACAGCCAGAAAAGACGCATAAACCTTGTGCAAATGATGCCAAAGATTAGGTTTGTATGGATTATATCCTTCTCAAACCCCCCATTAATGGGAACAAAAATGGGTGTTATTGTCATACATTCCTGTATTTAAAATGTGTTAACAGGAATATAAAGTTGTTGTATATATATAAGACCTGAAGTAATTTGTAATTTCAGTGAGATGAGGTTGTTTAAGTTGGTTAGATTGCAATATAATAGCTGTTCGATGTGATCATTGCAATCCAAAGACACTAATGTAACATGAACCAAACACATAGGAAAAAACAAATTGTCTGCAGCTTGTTTAAAGCCTTTTTTAAAAAATAGTTCTTAGATGAATTAAAATAGTCATCCAAGAAACCACTTGTCTTTTTTTCTTATGAAAGCATGGATCATTACGATGTGATCATTGAATTGTTATATCATTACTTTATTATTGTAAAATCATTTCATTACTTTATCAGTATAATCAGTCTAGTGTCAAGTCATATCAATCCTTTTGTAATTCACGAGTTATGTCATTACTTTTTCAGTGTGAAGTCATTTTATTATTTTACCTGTGTCACGTCATGTTAGTCGTACCTAATAGTTGTCCTGTCAAATTTATATATAATTGCATTTCGTGTCTAAATAAATAATATTTATTAATTGTGTATATCATAACTCAAAAAATGTCTAAACGAACATCTAATAGGCATTCTAGTCAAACCATCCAATGTTCTTCATCACGCAATAAACAACAAAGTTTATTTTCAACCAACGAACGTGAACGCTCTATTGGCCGAGCAGCATCGTCAAACGTAGTTCGTTCAATTGAATCATACACAAATTCTACCAGTGTAACTTGGTTTGAATAAAAACGTGAGTTCCGTAACGAGCCCATCAACTCTTATCACTCATTCGGTCAAGTTGGACACGTATTTGTTACCGACTATCAACCTCCGAGTGTTCGTATCAAACTCATGCCAAGATGGAGACAGTTATATGACAAACGTCATAAGCTTGAAGTATACCGTCGCTAGCATGGATTAATGTTACCGAAGACATGTTTGGTTGATATATATGATCCATAAAATTCTACCAACCATAACGAAATCATAGCAAAGCTTGAACGTGAAAACGATCAGATGCAGCGTAGACTTGATCGTTTGTATGCAATCGAGCAAACAAAAATTGAGCAATTTGATCTTTATTAGGCTGAGATTCAAATTTTACAGGATCCATTACTTATTTCATATACTGAACTTTTTGATTATTCCGATTTGAGTGCTGATACGTCTGACACTTCTATTCCATCTAGTTTATGTATACTCGGCAACCCTCTATGTTATTTTTTACATCAACCACAATATTGACAAACTGTATTTTTTACAGTCTCATATAATAAAATTGTTTTATTTAATGTATAAGTATTTTTTTTTTCATATTTTTGATGTTTTGTACACTTTTATAAGTCAATTCTCTTTGTTCGATGAACTTATAACATAAAATTGAAATAGACAATTTTTTAGCATACACAAAACAAATTTCTCACAATTAGTCACAAAATTTATATATTACACACGCAAACAATATTTTAAGCATTTTTTTTGGTAATGTAATGCACTGAATTAATTAAATTTTTTTAATTTATAACTTGATTTTTTAGTAGCTTTCAAAGTTTATAAATTTCGGTTTGAAACATGCTTTAATAATATTTTTTTGTTCAAACAAAACAGGACTGAACAAAAAATTTTATATCATGAAAATAATTCACAATCTCGTAAGCTACGTTATTAAAAAAAATATAGGTTTTTTAGGGTTATTAGGGTTTTTTTTTTAAATGTTTTTAGCTTTTTTTATGGTTTTTTAGTACATTAAATGGTTTTTATTTTTTTGTACACATTTTTTAAAAACATCCTTCAAAGTGACGTTTGTGGGTCAATACTTTAACACCTGTTAGGTTGCTGCTTGAAAATTCTTTTTAAAAATTCGTTAAAAAAACTCTTTTAAAAATATCATTTTGAACGATGTTCTGAATAAAAAAATAATCAATTTAAAAAGGTCATTTGAAATGACGTTTTAATTTATGAAGGCGACATTTCAAATAACGTTTTAAAAAAAACATTAAATTTAAAAAATAAGTTTAAAACAAACTAAGTCTGAGAATAAAAATGGTGGAGAAGCAGGGTTCGGTGAAAAGTTCACGAAAGATTAGATTCTTGTGATAAAATTTGTCTGTCATTTGACTTTCAGCAGTAACCGATTAAAGCCATGGCAGCTGGCACACAATTTTTATTATAAACACCTCCATTAAAATTAGTGTGGTATTATTTTTATCCCACAAATATTTTTATTCACCTTATTAAACTTTTAATTATAAAATTATTAAGTCCATCTCTACTATATTTACTCGACTAATGATTAAATCCACCTCATTCTATATCCACCACATTAATGTCTAAACCAAACTTGTGCAATATTTAACTAAGATATAAAAATGATAAAATATTTTTTCTTAAATATGTCTTGATGTGCTAGGACACAAACAACTAAATTCTGAATAAAATATACAAAAAATATTATTTGAATCTTAACAAAAAAATAAAATAAAAATAGATCAGCCTTCACTCAAATACTTTTTATTTTTTAATCATTCCATGTGAATTTCTCTTCAAAAAAAAAACAGTAACTTAGTTCAAAAACAGTATAAATACTTTTTATATACAAAAAAAGTAACTTATATATATATATATACACACAAAACATGTGCGGCAAAATAAAATAAAATTGAAACTAAAACCAACTTGAATATCACTTGAGAAATTTATATTAAATAATTAAGAAATTCGAAAGGTGAAGATTGAAATGAATTTAGTTATTAATAGGAAGGATACAAAAGGTGGTGAGTTCAGCCCGAGCTTTGTCTGAATTTAATTCGGATTGAAATTTTTTAATCTTAAGCCTGACTCTAACCTTAAACTTAAAAAACTCAACCCTAATACTACTCTTTTCAAGTTTGATTCGGGTTAATCCGCTCAAGTTGCACCCCTAGGCTTAGTTAACAACGGAGTGAGCATAAAAAAGTGTGTTTAGTAGTTTTTTTAACTGTCTATTAGAGAGCAACTCTGCTTCTGTACTCGAAGATTACTTTGGAAGTACAATTTAGTCTATTTACCTATAAAAAACTGTTTCTTGTAGAACCTGATAATAAGAACACACACACAAACACACCGAGAGAGAGAGAGAGAGAGAGAGAGAGAGTAGTACATCACTAACAAATCTTGTTTCCTCAAAACAAGTACCACTAACATATCAATTCATCACTAAAGGAAGTGATTGCCTCAGTAGTATTACGAGTGCAATACCATGAAGTCTATTTTTAAAGTATTTGATAAATGCATACTCAAATTTGGCAGACTCAAATCGAGAAAGATCGATCTTTTGGTAGCTTTTTCTTGTTTGTGACAGGGGAAGCAAGTAATTGCCCCATTAACGCAACCATCATCGTCTTCACTAGCTTCCTCTTTGCTGGAATCGGGCTTCCGCTCTTGGGTTTGAACGCCGGCTTCCTGCAGATAGCACATCCGTCTTTTCCAAATGAGTTCAAAAACGCTATCTCACCTTTGCAGCCGTTGCTTTCGACTTCTGCTTTCTCACTCCTGTTCACTAACTCCATCTCTCTCTCTCTCACAGACCACCCTTGTTCTGCTTCTTAAGAGTAAGAAACGATGATATTTATACAGAGGGTCCATAGAGAAATTTTCATGGTGTTGGTCAAAATTAAATGATTTTATGTTTCTGAGGAATGTTTGTCATTAACCAGCTTGCAAGAATTATTCTTGAAAAAGTCAGTTTGGGGTGTTAAAGACTCATTCAAAAATTTCTCCTACCTCAATTTTTATTCATTAAAAACGTGACACATGTAAATATTTTTATTTTATTTTATTATTTCTCATTACTTGATTATTTTCAATCAATAGTTGTAAATCATCCAAATCAAAATAAACAGATAAATCTCGGCACATGCAGCGATACCAATACCGTAGGCTTATAGAGGTTAATCTCAACTCTTTTTATTTAATTTAATAATTAGATTTAAATTGAGCGTCATTTAATATTAAAACTTACATTTAATCCAATATCAATATTGAATTAAGCCCTCATGACGTTACGCTGTTTGTAATGGTGGTACACAAACATATGCTTAATAGGGGCCAGCTTTGAATACTCATTTTAGCATATGCTTACTGTTGGGCTCTCCTCCGGGGCACCTCAGAAAAACACTAGCCTTGCTTGGTAGGGAATTCAATAAAGTGATCAATAGATGAAATTAAAGTGTTCCACAGGAAAATAAAAGTTCCCTACAGTTAATTTCTTTCACTAATGAATAGAGAGAGTTCATGAATAATATGGAGAATTTCTACAGTTTCTCGAACACCCAATGGAGGATCTGAATTTGGTATTTTTCACATGCTGGACTTTGATAGAAGTTTCTAGATCTACCAGCTTTTTACCAATCTCTCACGGTTTGAAAAAATAATTCTTAAAAAAACCCAAATAGTTTTAGAAAATGTCAACTGAAACTAACAATTTTAAGATAAAAACGTCATTCCAACTAATGTGTTCAAAACCCAACCTAGCCACGCCAAGCAAAGAAGAATTCAGTTGAATTGATGTATTTAATATTTATCCAATTTCATATCTACTTCTCTAAAATCACAAAGAAACCTAATTTTTAGGAATGATATTTGTCAATTTTGAACCATTGAAAAAGTATTCGATCAATGGAAACAGATCAAACTATCTATCAATCCATTTGAAAATTTGAGATTCCGCACTTTGAAAAGTCTTTAGTAATACATCTGTAATAGTTTTCTTGATTGAAGGAGACCTTCCAAGTAAAAACCCATAACAGATCCTCCTCTCTAATTATCATTGAATTGGAGGATCTCAGTAGTTAAAAAAAAATAGGTTGCCACCTCACCATTTTATATTTGTACGGCTAAGATTAATCTATTAATCCAGCAAAACCCTTTTTAATGCACTTGACGGCGGCATCTAATCACAACAGGATCATCATGTGGAGTGCAGACTCCCTTGAGATCTCCATCTTTGAATGTGATGGGAGGATTTTTGTGGGACACCGTTTCTAATTGAACAAGGTTGATTTCTTCCTCCTCTATCCGAACTCTTTGGGCAAAAGCTTTCATCGCCGAGCTGCTTTTTCCTCCTGAAGCAAATCCTCTAGAAATCAACCTGATTTTCCCTATTGGTTGATGATATTCTCGAGGTTCTATAGGGGTTCTTTCTTCTTGGTAGTTCCTTTCTACAAATCTTCTAAGATGGTCACTCTGGATTAGGTCCTCATTCTGATCTTGAAAGGTGAAGCACTCTTCAGTATCGTGCCCGTGGTGGCAGTGAAAACGACAGTATTTATCTCTCTCTCGCTTGTTAGGATGTGTTCTGAGCTTTTCAAGACACTTCAGGATGTTTTCATTTTGCACTTGAAAAAGAACTTGTTCAATTGGAGCGTTCAGGGGAGTGTACGCCTAAGCTTTTGCTGCTTGTAAACTTAACACTAACTCGTCCCTGAATGTGACATTATCAGCTTTCCCCTTGTTTGAAGTATTTAATTTGTCTGACTTTTCTTGACTCTTCCTCTTCTTCTCGTAGGTTAAGCCTTTCACACCTTTCTTCGTGTTGACCGCATCTTTTGTATTCATATGGCTCTGAACTCTAGAAAGGTGCTCCGCCATAGTTTTGAGGGAATGTTTGTGCACAAAGAAATATAACCTAGTGGACCTGAGTCCACTTATGAAGGTTATCAAAGCCATCTTGCATCGGCATCACCTATCTAGAGGGACTCTTCCGTAAAACTTGCTACATGCTGTCTGAGAGTCTCTTCTTTCGTCTACTTGATATTGAGGAGAGAAGTAACAAATTTTATGGAGTCTTTCCTCCAATGAAATGGGAAAGGAAAGATTTACTGAGTTCTAGGAATGATCCAATCGACCTAGTACTAGTAGGGAGCCTATTAAACTAGAGAAGGTAGGGAAAGCTCCACACATAATGACATCAGGGATGCTGTGCAATAACATGAGAGATTTGTAGGTCTCCAAATGATATTTATTGTCATCTAAAGTCTCGATGGTTGGTATTTTGAACTTGATTGGGAGAGGATAGTTGGTGACACCCTGAGAGAAGGGCGACTCGAGTCTCTAAACTAGCGTTTCCACGGTTTCTAGAGCTTGAGCTTTTATAGTGTTCAACACATCTCCAATTCAATCATTCACCTCCTTGAACTTTCGGTTCAAAACGACGTCTTCTTCCTAATGTTGCAGAGAATCATTTTGACTATGCTCATCCACCAAATTTGATTCATCGCTAGGGCGAACTTCTTCAAAGTGAAGATCCTGATTTTCTTGTTGATTTTGAGGACCAACAAGGCCTTGCAAAAGTTGTTGGATTTGCTAGGTTTGTTGAGTCATGTCTCCAATGGCTTAGTTCATTTGATCCACATTCCTTCAAGATTGAAAATCCGTTGGGCCTCCTGACGCCTATTAAGGCAATGAAGGTCTGGGTCCAAAATTTCAACCCCAACATTTACTTAAATAGGTTGTTCTCCAGCAGGGTTGTCTTGATTGAAATTCATAGCTCTAGTTGACACCATCTATTAGTATATAGTAAAATTGAGAAACAACTTTGGTTGTCAAGCCATTTTCCACGGACGGACCAAACTATTGGAGTAAAAAATGTGTCCAACAATTCTAAAAACTGTTGAGATTAATCGAGGCCTGGCTACATCTTTTCCTGAGCTCTAGATGAGGTTTCCGGTAGTTGTAGTACCTGAAAAAAAAAAAAAGTTGTAGACCATAGGGGTGCTCTAGGGATCAACCCTCTAACGCTTGAGTTGGTATCTGGGAATTTAAGGTGCAGCAAATTAACTAGACTTAGTGCTTACCTGAATCTTACTCCGAAGGTCCCATTTTATAGTATTTTGATAGGTTTCCCAGGAAGAGTGGACTCTAGGCTTTTCGAGCAGTTTGAATTTCCTGATCCCCTTTCGTTTGAGGATACTTGGCTTTTGTGGACTTTATTCTTTGTTTGGAATATCTATCCAAAGTCCTAATTGTGCTAAGAGTTTGTTTGACCACACGCGGATAAGGCTTGTCAATGGTATGATCTTATCCTCTTCCCTTGATTTCCTTATCTTCCTCATGGTATTTAAACGAATCTGTCATTTGAACAAATCTTTGGCAGATAAGGTTCCTAAAAATTTGGGATAAGCTTTATTATCCTCTTAGTATCCTAATCCCACCAGATTGGGGGAAAACTAATTATCTGAGCTCATCACTCCTTCATCTTTCCTTTCTTGCTAACAAGTCAGTCAATGACTACATTTTTAAAGGTAGGTGTCAACTAGTACCTTTCCCT